TTTCGGGCCTAGACCCTTCATCATTTCTGATGAAGGGTCTAGGCCCAAAACGTCAGCCTTTCTGCTCCTATGATGCTGCTGAGCCTGCTGTGTTCATCCAGCTCTGCACCTGGTTGTCTCGGATTCTCCAGCATCTGCAGTTCCTACTATCTCTCATTTCCATCTCGCGTATTTACATAGTTTAAGCCCCTGAACTGGACATCTGCAAAAAGAAGACTTCACAAACATTCACCACAAGATGCTACAAAATAAACTTCAAATGCTCAGCAGTTTATGAAATAATGAGATGTATAGATAAAGTTAATGGTGGTTGTCTTTTCCCTAGGATGGGGGGTTTCAAGACTAGGGGATAGATTTTTAAGGTGAGAGGAGACAGCTTTAAAAAGACATGACAGGCAAATTTCTTGAGGAAGTGATGGATTTGGGTACAATTACAACTTTAAAAGAATTTTGGATAGGTACATGAATAGGAAAGGTTTGAAGGTATATGGGTCAGGAGCAGGCAGGTGGGACTAGTTTAGTTTATGTTAGGCATGGACTGGTTGGACCAAAGGGTCTATTTCCATGCTGTATGACTCTATGACTCTATTAAGGAAATCTCACAGGGCGAAATCCATGCTTTATCCACATATTTTTTAGATTTCATTTCTTCTCTAAAATATTCTAATCCTGGTCATTTATGAATATCAACTGAAAATATCACTGTGAATTTATTTTTTTAATGCTCAATTCCCAAATGCAAAGAAAAGGATATAAAATGTGGACCCATGACCATTGTTCTCAATTCTCTTTACACTGTTGAGACTTCCTGGGATCCATGCCAGAGAGAATTGAGTGCTTCTATCTAAAATACACATAAGTATGGGACAGCATGGAGTTGACTAAGAAGGAGTTTTCCCTCATTTTCCTCCAGTTATAGCGAATGGATTACTATTAGTAGGTGCACTTGGAGAAATTGATAAAAACATTTGCGTCTGGCACTCTTTCTCATTGGAAGATCTGATTAGACAAACAGTAAGGCCTCAAAGGAGAAGTGAGCACTTCTTTTCAAATCTTAGATGTATTGGGGCTGGAGGCCCTTGGCTGATGTCAGTAGAAAGCTCATTTATTTGCCATTCCTGATTATGTGGGATTATTGCCAAAGTGCTTTATCCAGTAATGTGAGACATGTAGATGGATTCAAATCTCCAGAATGGAAATAATGACAGATGGAAGCTTTTTAGCTCATCAGGGTGTAGTCATGAATTGACTGATGCAATGAAGGCCATCAATTGTTAGTTAGTGGAGCTTTATTGATTATTTACTGAAGCATTCAGCCTTTAGCTTTACTCATGTAATTGAAATCTGTACTTAGGGGAATGTAGGGCAAAGCTCTGTGAATTAAAAAAAATATTGTGAAGAATATGAATGACTAGCAATGCTAAAAGCAAATTTCTTTTCTCGAATAATTTACTTCATGATTTTAGGTATTGTTTAATAATGTATTCTGTGAGACCTTATGGTTCCAATCAACTTGACATGTTTCCCATTCTGTTTATGGTAATTCTGTTTCAAGACTATTGCTTTTTTTCTGAGGTATATACCTTTCAACAATGACATGCAGTTTCATTTTTCGTTATGTTCCTGCAGTGAATTTCACTGTACACTAAGTATTTCTTGTGCTGAGAGGATGATTGGGCATGCTGTTTGCAAGCTTTGCCTTTAGCCTCCAGTTGGATGGGAGTGATGAAAGATCGATATTTACTAACTGAGTGTCCTTGCTTCTGTAAATGTCTATACTCTCTGTTCAGTGCTCCCTTATAAACCATTGCTCAGATTTCCTATTCACACACATGCGTCGGGAGGCAAAACTTTGTCCCTTCACATTGTGGTTGCATGGTGTTTTGCCTCAATTCCTATGTCACTGTGTTGGATATTTATCTCTGCCTGGAACATGATCACATGATTTTGTTTAGATTTTTGAGCATGAGCGAGCTGTTGTCATGTAGAGGAAGTGATAGCAATGAGAAGGGACGGCTGCTGGAGATTTGATTTCAAATGCATCACACAATTTGCTAAGATGGTAAGCCAAACAACTAACAGGTGGATACATTTCCACAAATATCCCCTTTCTCAATGATCAGGAAACACACATCAGAAAACAAGATTGAAGCATTGACCAACATTTTTGGTTACCAGCCTCAAGAATGATCCATCTTGGTCTCCCCTGAGGTCCGCTGCATCACATATGCCAATCATCAGCCAGATTGATTCCATGTGATTCCATGTCCATGGCTGGACATTGAATATTGCAGAGGTTATGACAACATTATGGCAATAGGAGTGGAG